CATTGGTATTTGCACCTACGATTTCTGTCAAATTTTCTAAATGGAGAGATTTAGGATTCAGAATGTTACCTTGTTAAAGTGTATATAATAATGCTAGCTTGTGCAGGACATTGAAAATATCAACTCATCTTGCCTCAGATAAGATGTTATGATTTGATGTTACTATTTTCAGAAGTACTAGTGCTTACATGGGACTCATGTCTCTTGACTGAAACTCTTGTCTAGTTACTATAAATTCTGGATCTGCCTTTCACCTGAATCAAACTTTCTAGAAGGAAAGGAAGAAAATAAAATTACTTCCTGCACTATACTTCTTAACCTCACCAGATTGACAATTGCCTCTTTTAGTCTTGACCATATACTATTCCCATCAGCTCAGATTTGGGGGATGTTAAAGGAAAGAAATAAAAGAGGGAAAAATAGGATAAGAAAGATGTAAGAAGCAAGTCAGAAGAGATGAAGAGAGGAATTGAGGTTCCTAAAACAGTGGGTTACCAAACTGCAGTGGGCATCACGTTGGAGGACTATTTAAAACACAGATTGCTGGGCCCACCTCCAGAGTTTCAGAGTCAGTAGATTTCCTATTTTACTTAATGGATTATAATCTGTTATAAAATTATTTATTCTGAGGTTCTCTGGAGCAAGATGCAGAAATGAATTTAAAACTAAAAGAAGAATTTGAGGGTTCCTTTTTTTTCATCTTCTGGGGTACTGAGAGGTTAATTCAAGGTTACATTAATCAGAGTTTAATGGGTACATATTTTAGTTTCATAGCAACAGACTTCTGGTAGTATTAAGTGAGTCATTTTTCACAAACAGATGCTAATTTTCCTTCCATGAAGCAACCAGCCCTGGAGATCCTATCTGGAACACCTGGCTCAGAGGAGCGTAGGCGGGATCTGAAGAACAAAGGCATGTGGGGTGAAGTGGGAAGGCACAAAAAAGGTCAGTAACCTGGTTAAGAAAAGCTTTTTTGATACCTTTCTCCCGACCCTTCATTGGCAACCAGGTAGAAAAGAGGGTGGTAGGGTTGTATAAATATACAAATAGGTGAGTTAAAGGTTTCTACGTTCTCAATAATGAATGCGTAGCAAATGCTACTGGGAGGTTTTCCAATGGAGAAACTCAGAGGCTCATTTTGAAGGTACAACAGGTGGGAAGTTGAGATTGTCTTTTGTCTTCAATGTTATGGGAGGTAAGGTAAGCAGGTTTCTGTGTACTTAACCCTCCACCGGGGTCACAGTCCAGATGGTAGGGAAATACAGGCATATCTATAAGATATTAAGGGTTCCATTCCAGACTACTCTATTAAAGCCAGTATAGTAATAAAGCAAGTTGTAATCCTTTTGCTGGGAAAGGGTCTTGTCTTCGGTTTATAAAAAAAATGCTACATCTATAAAGTGCTATAAGTGAAGTGCAATAAAATAAGGTGTACCTATAAAAGGGATTTCAGAACTGCTTAACATTTCTGAGTATAAACCCATAAAAAATCTGGTTAAAGGAATAAGATAAATAAAAGAATAGTAGTTCCACAGGTGACAAAGATATGTGTCTTATCATACTTATCTGAATATCTGGTAATCTTTAAAGCCATGACATTTCCCATAAACATTAACAAAGGAAATTCCTATGCACAAAAAAGCAATTTAATCTCTTGCTATTTGCTAGTTTACTGCAAACTTGATTCACTCTCTTGAGAGAATTACCTGAAACAGTGGGTTACCAAACTGCAGTGGGCATCACGTTGGAGGACTATTTAAAACACAGATTGCTGGGCCCACCTCCAGAGTTTCAGAGTCAGTAGATTTCCTATTTTACTTAATGGATTATAATCTGTTATAAAATTATTTATTCTGATGTTCAAATTGTCCTTCATTTGACAATGGAGAGTCACTTCATGCTGGATTCTGTGTCCATTTGATATGTACCCATCATTTCTTGAATATGTCCTTGCTTTATGATATAAGATATTCTAGACTGATTTTGGATTTTCTATGCGCTAGTCTGGGAATTAGCCATTGCCTCTGGGAGCCCTCTTACTTTTAGTGGAAAATTATTTTTAGAAATCAAGATTTAGGTTTCAGGTGTGCTCGTTGCTAATGGATTGTCATTGCTTCCTGACCATATGAATGACCAGAGCTAGAGAATGTATGTATGCTTGTGATATATGTCATAAACACGCACATATATAATGTTTTGTGTATTAACACACTTCTGCATCTATGTTTACTTCTATATTGTTT